TCACGTTAGGGGGCGCTGTGGAGCAGTTTGGCCACGCCCACTTTTGGATCCATTACAGTTCAAAAATTTTACTAGGGGGACAAGTTTTGGTGAAGTTTGGTGAGTTTTGGGATATGCTAAGGCCTCCAAAAATGCGTCCCAAAAGTCCCAAGAAAAATAATAATAAGAAACGACACAATTACAATAGGCCTTCGCAGCGCTTTGCTGCTCGGGCCTAAATATACTGAAAGTAGGAATTTACAAGTTTAGTGTAGTCAAAATAAACAAAACATAGAAAATGTAGCAAATAAAACTTGGAAAAGAATTGTAGAGAGTAAAGGCCACAAGATATTACTGAAATAACTGTTAATTTAAAACGCGCCATTAAAAGGCTACTGGCTAAAAAAAAGCTCAGAGTGGCACAGTAACGACTGATAAAACTAAGAGCTGTTTCTTCAGACGTTTGGTAAAAGTATTAGTCAGATATATTATAATGTAGACAAAAATCACACTTGTTCTGACTACATATAAAAAAAATCCATTTATAGTCGGAGGCCTCAGATTAATAAAGTGCACAGAGATTCTCCAAGTTTTTTTGCCAAAAAATAAAAATGTTGGGGGTTTAAAACAAATTTTGGTTGGTTTAAAAAGATGACAAAATGGCAACAAAGGAACAGCAATTTATAAACCCTTTTGTGATGGAGTGAGTCCACCTGTTGAATATTTATGTCACATACTGGTTTGTTGTGTCAGATACATTCACCACAGCTGGTTACAAAAGTAATAAATACAAGGACAGGAATAAAATAACACAAGCAAACGTGGATCAATACAGTGTTAGCAGTAACTCATCAGAATGTACAGGTCCAGCAGAAGATAAATGACTTATTCTGTTGGCCTTGTTTGAAGCAGTAACTCGGTGCACAAACAGAAAATAAATAGTAAACATTTAAGAACATTCCTGTACGAGACTCAGAATGATACGTGGCTGTCAGTGTGTTCCACAGAAATCACAGCTGCTGGACCTGCCTTTGCTTTCTAGGAAATAAAATACGTGTAATGTGCAAAACCGTTTTAAGTTTTTTATGACTCGACACACTCAAGAGTAGCAGCTGTTCACTAGTATGAAAAGTTCGGCTAATTTCCTACCAGGACATTCTGAAGCATTAAAACAAAAACTAAGCTCTGATCAACTAAAGCTGTGAATCAGAAACTTTAAACCGACATGTTTGATTCCACATGTACATTTTTGGCACTTTTTATAATTGCAGTGATCTTGAAGGAGCTAAATTAAGATCACTGTAACTAATTTGGGGAAAATGGTGCAACAGTGTATTCACTACGAAATAACTGATCCTGAGAAACTAATTTATCCCAAAATTAAACAAACTAAAGTTTTCCAGTGAACTTAGAGCACAAAAAGACTAATATCAATGTTTTATATGGCATTTTCTTAATTTTAATTAGTTAAATAGACAAATGTCATTGGCAGATTGGAGATGAAGGCAGAAGCAGCAGCTACAGCTAAAACAGCTAAATTTGGCCAAAATTTCCAGAGTAGGCTTTTCCTCCTTCATGCCCCCGACCATCCTTCCTGAGCTTTCCCTCCTACCTGCAGCAATCGGTCACTCCTCTTCCTACGCATTATACACCTGAGTCGTAGCTGATGTTGGTATTGTGGCACTGTTCAGTCCTGATGTAGCAGAGGGCCGCTCCCTTCTCACGTACCTCGGCTTCCTCACTGCAGAAGATAAAAAATAAAACATAAAATCATCTGAGAGCAACAAGAAAAGACATGCACTGGAACTACCGTCAACAGAATTTGTGCAGACACTTTTTAGTACAAGCTTTTAAAAGAAAATTCTCCTTTTCTGAGCAAGTGTGCTGCATGACAAACTAACAGGTCGTTCTCTATATCTATGTAGGAATTCCCTTCTTCCTTGGCACCTATATGTTGGGGTGTACCGCAAGGCTCCATTTAGGGTCCTATTCTATTCTCTATATACAGTGCCTTCGGGATCAATATTCAGAGTTTAACATTGCCTTTCATTGTTATGCTGATGATATCTAAATATATTTATCTTTAAAATTAGATGTCCCTACTTTACTGCATGCAGCCTCTAACTGTCTACAAGACTTCAAAAACAGATGAACTCAGAATTGTTTGATGCTGAATATAAAAAGAAAATAGAACTGACGGCATGGCCCCCTTACATAACTGCTTACAGTTATGAATGGGGGCCATGCCCTCTATTGTATACAACCCCAATTATTGCACCCATAATCTTCCAAGGACCTGTTGCTAGCAAATTCAAAAGCTATAATACTGATGACTATTTGTGTAGAATTAGAAATTTTACCACACAAAGTGAATATAGCAGTAAATGGACCTCCCAAAAATGTCCATCACTATTTTATTTGATGTTTAAAAAATTAGTATTTTGGGGTGTACTTGTGTCCCCAAGTTTTCAAACTATGCTATTACACTTGGAAAATGTTGAAGCTCTCTAAAAATCTTATAAGACATGTTGCATACGTACATTAGGCAATTGTAACACCTGTGACTCTCCAGTAAGGACTTTTCTTTTATTCAACTACCTCCAATTATTTAGTTTATTTTCATAAATTAAGAAACAGGAAGGAAAACCTGGATTAGCCAAGAAGGATCAGAAACAGTTGTAGTGCACACCATCTCTAAGAGGAGTTTTAGGTTTAATCGAGCCAGCTTGCCAATAAGAAGCCCAACTTTCCAAGTGTTTTTGTGCAACTCAAACCTCAAAATTCTATTCCAGTCAAAATAAATAAAATATTTTTGGATTTGTTACACTTTAATACATTAGCAGAGAACTCAAGACAGTTGTTTACTGCAGTAAAAACACTGCACATGAATGATTCACGCAGTCTTGGCTGAAAGCTTAGACGGAAGCTTAGAAATATCTTAAAAGGGCTGCAACAGATACACCTTGCTCTTCTGCAACTATGTCAAAAACATCAAGCATTGCTCAATACTTTTACACAATCCTACAACCTGTTCAGCAAGAGTCCAAACAGGTTTGATACAGATAGTGCAGTCTTACCCGATGAGGATGGAATCATGACCACCTAAAGGAAAAAAACAAACAACAAACAAACAAGTATGACATCTTTTTTGATGCTCCAAGAATTCTGTTGTTTAAAGAAGTATATAGCAACGATAAAACACTTACTGTCTCACTTGGTTGAAATATGAAGGCTGCAAAAAAGAGATGTACACAAAAATGAGTTATGGTAATAAAGCAGTAATGTCCTCCTCCCATCAAATGGTTTAAATCATATCTATCTGATAGATTCCAGTTTGTAAATGTAAATAATAAATCTTCTTCATACACCAAAGTTAGTCATGGAGTTCCTCAGAGCTCAGTGCTTGGGTCAATACTCTTTACTTTATATATGCTTCCAATAGGTAAAATTATTAAAACAGCATTGGATAAATTTTCATTGTTATGCTGATGACACACAATTATATTTTTCCATTAAACCCAATGAATCCAATCAGCTACTTAGACTACAAGCATGTCTTAAAGACATAAAAACCTGGATGACCCTTAATTTTCTCCTTTTGAACACAGACAAAACTGAGGTTTTGGTTTTTGGACCTGAGCACCTTAGGAATGATTTTTTTCAGTCTTTCTCCCTCCTTAGATGGCATTAATCTGTCCTCCAGCTCTAATGTTAAAAAGCTTGGTGTTATTTTTGATCAGGACATGTCTTTTATCCCCCACATTAAAAACGTTACTAGAACAGCCTTCTTCCACCTGCGTAATATCGATAAAATTAGAAACATCTTATCAAAAAATGATGCAGAAAAACTGGTTCATGCATTTGCCACGTCTAGACTGGACTATTGCAATGGTTTATTATCTGGATATCCAAATACTTCTTTCAAACGTCTTCAGTTGATCCAAAATGCTGCTGCTAGAGTCTTAACTGGAGTTAGTAGGAGAGATCCTATTTCTCCAGTTTTAGCTTCACTCCATTGGCTCCCTGTCAAATCCAGAATATAATTCAAAATCTTACTTCTAACCTACAAAGCTCTCAACAACCTGGCTCCATCTTATATTACAGATCTTATTGTTCCATATTTTCCTAACAGAGCACTTCGCTCTCAGACTGCAGGTTTACTTGTGGTTCCTAGAATTTATAAAAACAGAATGGGAGGCAGATCCTTCAGTTATCAGGCTCCTCTCTTGTGGAACCAACCTCCAATCTCTGTCCGTGAGGCTGACACATTACCCAGTTTTAAAACTAGGCTTAAGACTTTCCTTTTTGCTAAATCCTATAGTTAGGGTTGACTTGGGTTTCCTGAGCTGTCCCTTAGTTATGCTGCTATAGGCTTAGACTACTGGAGGACAAACTGACCACAATTTTCACTCTGCTACTGTCTTTATTTACTCTGCTCAACCTGTTTTGTATTTGTAATTACTTTTTCTATCCTTAACATGTGGTGTTTTTTTTTTTGTCTTTCAGATACACCTGGATCTATACCTGCACCTACCATTCTATGTTCATCTGTCTCTCCTTCCTGTCCTCTCAAACCAGCCGGTCAAGGCAGATGGCCGCTTGTCCTGAGCCTGGTTCTGTTGGTCCTTTTAAAAGGTAGTTTTTCCTTTCCACTGTTGTCACTGTGCTTGTTCAGGATGGGAGACTGCAACGAAGCCAAGATTCAACTTGTCTGCTGGCCTCCTTACATATTTATGTGAATGTTTCTGTAAAGTGCCCTGAGACAACTTTGTTGTGATTTGGCGCTATATAAATAAACTGAATTGAATCAAATCAAAGAAACCTCATTCTGTTTGCTTAATGTATCAAAAGCACACAGTGCTACTAACCCTTGTTGCGGCGATAGAAAATGCCCGGCAGCCGGTCGGAGCGTTTGAGGTAGAAAAAGGAGGCCACAGTGAGGATGAGGAACAGGCTGATCAACAGAGTTCCCAGGAGGAGAGAAGCTGCCACGCCCGGGCCTCCTGCAGCAAAACATTAACAAAAAATGTAGCCAACATCATCTGCTGCAGATATGTACTCATTCAACCTTTATTTAGACAGGTAAATCCCATTGAGCCTCGAGGACTCATTTACAAGAGAGACCTGATTTCAACTCTTACAGATAGCAGAACATTTTCAAGTGACCGTGTTTGCCACATAAAGTCGACTTTTGCCAAATGGTGTGCACACTTTTCTGACCCAAAAGCATTTTAGTGAAGACCAAGACACAAATATTGACACAAAAAAAATAGTTTAGCACGTCCTTGTATCTTACCAATTTTAGGACAGACAGTTGTTACCGTTGTGTGATTTTTACGCTCCAGCGTGTAGTCTAGAAGGCACAGAGCAGTCACAATTCAAAAAAAGAAACAGATTAATTGAACAGATTCAATTCTATTAAAACAGACTTTGTGAACAGTTGAACACCCTTACTGTAGGTGCAGACGGTTATGTTCTCCAACTCCACAGCTGCTGAGTCACAGAATATGCACACAGTGTTGTTGTTCTCCAGGACTCGAACGAAGCAACCTGAGGAATCCAGGAGAAGGATTTATCTCATACTGCTCGCTTTTCTTTTCCACTTTGAGGTCACTTCATAAACAAAATATTCTTTAATCCAGCTATTTTTACCTTTATGGTAAAATAAATCACAACTAAATAAGACATTTCACATAAATATAGAAAAAAAAGTTAATTTTTTAACATATGTTACTTATACAAGCTGTGTTTTGATGTTTCTACATTTTTAAATAAATTATGTTCAAGTGAAAAGAGTTAGTTTATAGTTTTCTGATTCTGCATTACTATTCTCAAACTAGAGTTAATGTTTCTAATAGCATGCGTGTTCAGTCTTCTTGACATTACTTTACATAAAATCAGCTATATTAAATAAAAACAGAGACAGTTTCCTAACAGTTTCAAAAATTTGGTCTTGTTTGCTCATTTATTGAACAACAGACCTCACATGTGTACAGCTAATCCATTATTATCATCATCACTCTTTTCAAGTGTCTTTGTTGCTTTGATAAACCAATCTCCCTCCGTGCTGGTGAATCCAGGTCATGATCAATCAATCAATCAAAAAAAAAAAAGGTTAATAAAACAAAACCTTCACCATTTTTGGAATCCTCCACTAGTTTTTGCACATTACAATGATTAGTAATTATTCACAATAATTTTAAACAACATAATTAATTACAACTGGGCACAAAGCCTGACTTAGCTTCCTTAAAAGACAAATGCTTATTTAGTATACTTTTCTTATAGCTTTACCAGAAGAACATAATTCCACCGGTTTAGGAAACTGTGAACTTAACTCCAAGTTAACACCAGTGTCAGATGAATCAAATCATCTATTTAGGTTACACATCTGTATTCTAACTCACCCAGGCTCAGAGTCTCTTATTCATCAATGCCAGAGTTAAAAATGTTATATAGGATGTTTCAAATTCATTTATATCCATCCATCCATCCATTATCTTTACCCGTTTATTCCATTTTGGGTCACGGGGGTCGCTGGTGCCCATGTCCAGCAATCACTGTGCGAGGGGCGGGGTACACCCTGGACGGGTCGCAAGTCCATCACAGGGCCACATAGAGACAAACGAGACAAACAACCATTCACTCTCTCATTCACACCTAGGGACAATTTAGAGTTACCAATCAGCCTAACATGCATGTTTTTGGTCTGTGGGAGGAAACCGGAGTACCCGGAGAAAACCCACGCATGCACGGAGAGATTCATTTATATACAAATGTTAAATTGTTCCTACTCAATATTAAAAACACCCTTTAACTTTTTATTCTTATTCTTGCATCACATTAGTAACAATGTTATACAGTTTTAATTATATTATATGGACATTTTTGGTCATTACCTGGTTCACAGTGAGTATCATTCGAGCAGGAAGTGTTTGCTTTCTGTCTCTCGCTGCAGCACTCGAGTGAGTTCTGATGCAGGGCCTGCAGGCAGAGGGACACATGTGAATTAACAAAGCTGCAGAACCGGAACAAAGCAGGTCTGCACTTCCGTTGGTAATCATCCATTTTTTATTTTACCTTTGTTACAGGTGTTTCGGGTTTGATAAGAATCACTGTGGCAGACAAGACCAAAAGGAAAGGCAAACCCATACTGGAACCTTTGGAAATGAAACATCTGAATTAGATATGCAAATCAGGAAACAACTTTACCCAGTGAACCTCACAGGAGGGTTTTCAGTATGTTAAAAAAAAATACTAAGTTCAAGGTAAATACATTCCAGGGCATGCTTTGTCCAGAAGAGCCGTTTAAAAACATTAATTAGATATAGTGTGTCTAAATCTTTGTTTTACTCAAGAGCTTGCACACAAAAAAATTGCAAACAATCAACAATGTTTCAGTTGTTCGGAAATCCTGTTTTTAAATAAACACCCTAAGGAAAATGTCAGGGTCTTTTGTTGTTCTTCTTTCAGCTGATCCCTTCCTCAGGGGTCGCCACAGTGAACTAACTCACACCACGACTTGGCAATTGTTTTTACCGGATGTCCTTCCTGACGCAACCACAGACCACTGAGCTACCACAGCCCTCTGTGTGGAGCAGAAAGCTGTCAACTAGAGGGCCCAGGGGAGCAGATGGTGGGGGTTAAGGGCCTTGCCCAGAGCAAATGAAGGTGGAGGGGAGGCAGGTGTGGGTTTCACGTTTCCCACCCATATTTTGACATTGTTGGTCCGGGGAGTCGAACCAGCGACCTTCTGATCACAGGCTTGCCTTTAACCTCAGTGCCACCACTCCCCATTCCAAACCCTAAACTTTCAAAAACACAATTTATCATCTTTCCCGACTACTATCTTGCTGAATTTTTTGTTTTCTGGGTTGTGTTTTGTCAACAAGCTCAGAACTACTAATCTTTATCTTTGGTCGTTGTTGTTTTATCAATAGTTTTAAAGCATCCTTGGCTCAGAGGTGCTGCAGTCAATCTGCCTTTAACGACAAGATTCCCTTTATCAGACATGGCTGAGATGAGGTTTTGCTGTCAGTGTGCAGAACTGTTTGTCAAAGCATTGTACATTTTTATCTAAAGTTTTTTGTGTCCTCAATCCCCAGAACAGTGAAATGCAAGAAATGTGGGATTTCACTGTGGTCCTTTCACATGGTGACTGTGGATTTATTTGCAAAAATAAGAACATGTTTTGGACACTCTGGTGAGAAGCGGAGCTGTGCACTGACCAACACTTGGTGGTGAGTTGGATAAAATGGCAGAGAAAGATGCCGGACAGACACCGTAGACACAAACATGTGAGGGTTTGCTGGGAACACCTGGTGAAAGACCCTATCAGAAGGATCTTCACGTTGCACCCCCCGAGAGAATTTCAACCACATTGTAACTTGAATCTGCAGCATCCTTTTACAAAGACACAATTAGTTCCCATTTATTTAGTTAAATCTGTGGAAAAATACCAACAATAACCCAGTTTGACGGACATAAAACAGTATTTTAGCTCCAACTGAGAGATTTCAAAACAGCTATCAGCGAACACCTTGTGATATGTTTAATACATCTTTCAGGTCCTGTGTCAGGTCTGTGAAGGACTTTTTTCTCATTTTCCGAAAGCACACATTGCACAATATGCCGTCATGGTGAGGTGAAAAGAAAACCAGTTAAAAAATGCTGCCAAAATCCCAAGAAAATATTTAGAAATACCCCCAGAAAACATTTAGAAATTTGGAGCTGAAGTACTTGAAACTTGGAAGCAAAATATCAAGGGATCAGAAGACTTTTGCACAGTCATTACTGTTTATTTCTTGTGATTTAAAAAAATTTATTTTAGGAAAATGTGACCAACTTAAATTTAATGTCTGCACCAGCTTAAGTTGCATTGTCAGTGTATTTGATACAGAGGAAGGTTAACAGTACACAGTTAAGGCTATTTTACAATATACTAAAAAGTACTTTATTTGCTTGTCTTTACAACTTATTAAGTCTCACACTTTAATATTTTCAGTTTGATTGCACTAGGAGAGCATTATATCTTGGCTAATGAACTCCTGCTTGTTAGCTTCTTTATTGACAGGAGGCGTTGAGCTAGCTATAGCACCTGTCATGTCTATGCCTGTCATGGGATGAGGTAACAACCTGAAAGTAGAAGCAGACAGAACTAAAACACCGAGGCCAGTGTGAAAGAGAGAAACCTGCTATTTTCTTAGTTTCACGGTTCCTTGTGTTACAATAACAATCAACAGCTGTCCTGAGAATGTGTGAAAGACAAAAAGTTCGCTTGTTTTCCTTCACCAATCTCTGGTGTGTATTTTAAAACCCAGCAGGTCTGTTTGGCCGTAAAAGTGTTACCACACAGTCGCTTAACGTTTGTTGGTAAATTGATTAAAAACTCACCTCTGCGGCTCCTGCAGTTCTGTCACAAAAATGTTTACCTCGGTAGCCTCCGGCTTGAGTTTGGCGAACACACTTCCGGAAAGGTATTTCAAAATAAAGTCAGGGACGTTCAAGTATACTGTAGTATTTTTCTTTCTTTCCTTCTTCTTTGAGCAAATTTTTAATCAGAAGGAAGGGTATACAACAACAACAGCAAAAATAAAATAAAACACGAAGTTTTCATTTGGATGATATAGCTATAGTTACAACTTGTATAGCAACCGTAACTAAGAACTTACAAACAGACACATCCTGTGCAATATTTTTGGTGGTTTGTCCGGATAAAGTCACTCTAGAATAAGGCTTTAAAACGAGAATGTCTAGTCTATTTTACTTTGACAAAATATCAATAAATAAAAAAAATTACCCAAGTTTTACTAAAATGTCCAAGTTGAACGTGGAACAGCTGCGCCCTTTGCGGTCTTGTTTCCGCTACACGAGACACTTCACTAGAATCCCGTTTTGTAAACGTTAAGTTTTTAAGCATTAAGTACTTAACTTCTGTTTTACAAAAAAAAAAAAAATCTGAAATGAGTTCTACAGTCAGAATGCTCACAAAAGTAAAAAAAAAAAAACTAACAAAGGAAACCATTTACACGACAATTTAAAAAAAAAAAAGCGTTCTTACATTGATTAGATTGTTACAATGACATTACTATGATTTTAGTTGTCACATTTTCGACGGTACGTGAACGCAGCGTTACCTCACTGACCTTTCAAACAGCGGGAAGTTTAAAAGCTAGCTACTGACAGCTTTTCCTCACATCTGTGTGACCCGTGAGTCATTTAAAATACATTTTCGTGTTTATTATTACATCTAAAATACGGCTCTTATACCAAACATAACATAGTTGTGGTAAACGTTTAGTAAAACTTTGAACCAGTCATTTAGCTGATAAAAGGCGTAATGCTAACTAAAATGTTAGCTAATATAGCTAGACGGAACAGCTAATGTGTTATTTTTTTATAAACAGGAAATACAACACAATGAATCATGTGAGGAACATAAAAGAAATGCTGAACATCCCGACTGGAAACAGGTGGGCTACAAATTTAAAAATTATGACACATTACAGTACTTCATATATAGATATAGATATATGAATGACTGCGTACATATATCTATATGAGTAATATTGATGTGATTGTTTATAAATAGTTTAGCTGTTGAGTAGTTACATTTTTTGTTTTGTTTTTACATGAAACCATGTGTGAACAAAACACTGAGCAGAAATGTGGCAACAAGTGGCTTCTCCAGCATGACAGACTCTCAGCTTTTCTATGGGTCTCAGTTTTGGCTTGACAATTCGCAAGGCACGTCTCAGGATGTAAGTTTGTCATCCAGAAACTCTCAACAAAGTTCACAAGAGGTGGGTGTCTTCATCGTAGTCTTTTTTTGTGCCTACAAGTGCCAAAAGCGCACTCTTAAGATCTGATGTATACAACAACAGTCATGCAAATAAGTATCGTATGGAGTTAATGTTTTACCATAATCAAAAGTAGTTTCATAATTTTATTATTACCAGTATTATTGTCAACAACAACAAAATAAATACAGTAATGAAATTATTAGCAGTATTTTTTTTCGTGTTGCATTTTGATATTCTATTCATTCTATTCATTTTGATATTCATTTTCATATTCTAACATTGCGCTGCTCAAGGTGGCTGCATGTTGGAGCAGCTCTGTTACTTTCACTCTGAGATTTTGCTTTTGGAAACTTTAATTCCTCTTTTTCTGGAAGTAAATCACATTTTTTTGGATGATTGTTTCCTCTGGTATCAGATGCTGTGCAGCTGGAAGGATTTTTACTGAAACTTTTTTTTGTTTTGGACATTTGTTATGATGCATAACCATGGCAACAAGGCAGTTTTCTACAACAACAGCAGCTGATTAACACCTCAAAAGCTCAAATAATATCTCATCTACAGCCCCAAATCTCAAATGAGTTGAAAAGGATGTTCTGTGGATGCATTCTCATCTACCTGCCAGCTGTGCTAGTGCCTGACCACTGAGATCCTGGAACTAGCAGGAAACACGGGTCATGACAGTGGAAGGACAGGATCGTCCCTCGGCACCTACTGCTGGCTGTCCGCAGTGACGAGGAGCTCAGCAGACTGCGGGGAGGAGTGGCCATTGCTCTGAGAGGAGTTCTACCCAGCATTCAGGCGGTCCTACAGCCCTGGGGAATCAAGAGGCCAGTCGAGTCTGGGTGGGCGGATCGGACGGCATCTGCAGCCAGTTTCTTAGGATCCGCTGTGGGATGGACCTTTACAAGAGATCCTTCCTACAGCCATCAGTATCTATAACATCTCTTAATGAAATGAGGATGACGAGTTACTGCAACAAATAATTTCCCTTTGGGATTAATAAAGTATAATTGAATTGAATTGAATTGAATTGTGTTTGACAAAGCCAGTATTTATTTATAATTGTTTTTAGAACTTCTACCAAATTCATGCTGATCATAATGTGCATCTGTAACTTTTCCCCCAATTTGTTTCTACTAAACTCAAAAAAAGACCTTTATTGATTATCATTTTATAAACAAAATCTGTACAAATTTTTCCACAGAATTAAATGTATAGCTGTCGCTTTTTAAAATGAGATCTTGCGATGTCGGGTGAGACAAGGGATCATCCCTGTCACATTGTTATTTATCTTTTGCGTGGAGTTGTAGAGGTGTTGTAGTAAAACTTGATACTTGCAACATATCTTTTTTTTGGGGGTGGAGGTATAAAACCAGTCTATTGTTATTATTATTGTTATTATTATTATGAGCAAAAACATTTTATAACTGTTTGCATTTCTTTCTTTCTGTATTGTTTCTGTTTAGGGAAGCGAGCCAAAGATTTTCCACAGCTATCACAGTAAACCTCCCCTATTTAAAGACTTTAAGGACAAAAACAGAACTTCTGGTTTATTGGACAAGTTTGAAGAGGACAGGAAAAGGGCAAAAGAGAAGAATGACAGGTGTGTCGTTTTATCACTTGAAACAAGCAGTGCAGTCAGTTTTTGTGTGATAACAAGAGGAGTAGTCCTAATTATTTGTGATTTATTCTTAGTTTTTTAAAATAATCTCGTCCATTTTTATTAGTGATGTTTTGATGAAGGAATTTCAGCACATCAGAGAAACTCTCAGCAGTGTAAGTGCAAATACAGATACAAATACATACCATGGCACTTTATTTATAAAGTACTTAAAAACAGCAGCCATTCCATGCCATTTAAACATCCCTTGTCTTTAAATGTTAAAACCATGCACTGCCTTTTCAGATTCAACAACTGATCGCTAGCACAGAGACAAAAACAGCTGTGTCCCAAAGAGTGTTTGAGAAAATTGACAGTTTTGCGCCATTGTGTAAGTGTTCTGCTCGTCTATTTTTCTTGCAGTTTTGAAAGTTGCATCTGTGATTCTGATTTATGTGACTGAAAAAAGACGGGTGTGCTGCTTTTTCCTATAGGTTTCCTTTGTGTACTGCAGTTTTACAAAGTATTTTGTTGTCCAAATAATGGCAAGTTATGCTAATTGGTGATTCTAAATGAATAACAGGAGTGAGTTTGTGCATGTATTGTTGTCTTGTGTTTCTTCATGTTGGACTGTATGGTGGTTCTCACCCAATCATAGGCTTTGTGACCCTAATTAGTATAAAAACAGTATGCAAAAATAAATAAACATGCGTTGCACAAACTTTTGTGATGCCCAGCAGGTGGTGCTCTTTGCCCAAAAAACATTGATTAATAATAATAATAATACATTATATTATAATAATAATAATATATTACTTGATTGTCATTCATAATTGTACAGTGTACCATGAAAATTTGAACACATTTTTGTTTAATTTCTCCACAGCAGAGTAGGAGCACATAATTTATATGAATTTTGTAGACTTTGGTGTTTAGGGATGGCTGTTGCTATTAATCACATAGAGGATAATATTCAGTTAGAAAATATTTTAACTTTAGTGCAATAAACAGTATATTTTACGTTCCCCATGTTAGTAATCTTTTAATTTTATCTTTCCAGTGCAAAATGTTTTGGAGGGTCTTCAGAGTGACATTTCCCAGAAGTTTGGAACTTTAGTTGACAAATTAAGCTCTCAGAAGGAGGTGATAACAGGGCTGGAGGAAAGAATGCAGAAGGTACAAAGAATTTAGTTTCTGGAGCATTTATCTACATTTTGGCAGAAGTGAAATGATAAACAGTTTGACTATTTTTGTCAATAATAGGTGTAAATGTTCATTTCTACCTTGTAGCATGTTAATACCACGGCACAGCTTGAGTTGCACCTGCAGAGCGTAAAGACTAGTTTGGAGTTTCTTAGAGAGGAGCATAAAGGAGAGAGACAAATGCTTGAAGAGGCCTTGAAGCTGCTTAACTCTTTAGTTTCTAAGCATTCAGCCAAACCCATCTCAAAACTAGTGATGGACAGTACCGTTCAAACATCGCCAAAACTGGAGCAGTCGGTGTCCAACAGTCTGCAGGACAGCCAGCTCGAAGACAGTCAGCTTAGTGCATCAGTGACTCTCGAAGAATGCCAGGTTGGAACTTCCCGTCAGGTTCACAGCCCCATCTTTGGAAAGAGAAGAGGTTGCAGGCACACAAAGAGACCGCTGGTGCTCCCAAAGAAGAGTAAGCGCTCAGGCTCAAAAGAAAACGATCATACTGTGAAGAAGTGCATCAAGTCACAGAAAGTGTCCAAACCTCTTCAGGAGCATTGTGAACAGAACATAGTCATCCAAGACATCCGCTGCTCTGAGAATCTGGTGCCAGTGAACAAAGGGAGCAGTGTGCAGCCTGAACGTCCAAAACAACAGCCAGGTGAGGCTGCAGGGTGTTTCATCACCCCTCTGAGCGGCTGGTCTCAGGACAGCAACAGCTCAGATTGCCTCGCCATAATCGAGCCCATCTTAGAAAAACTGTCAGCTGAGTCGAAAGTGACAAGCCCAGTGAAAGACGGAGGCTTCTGGCAGTTGTTTGATTCTGACGTGGAGTTTTAAAAGAAAAGAGAAAGTAGCAGAACAATATGGTGTTTATTTTGCTCTGTTTGGAGCTTAGGTGAGTAAGAACCAAGAAGTTAATATAAAACTATATTTAAAATAACACGACTGACGTTCTAGTGAAAATTTAATAACATATTTATGTTTAAAATGCAACACAAAGTACAGTTTTAGTACATACATTTATTATCTTTACAGTGAAAGCGCTTTGACAAGGTGTGAGGGTTATAGAATAAAAGAAAGTTAAGGCATATGTGCCCTCGCCTAAGCGTTACATGAACTAATTTAATATTTTAGTTCATTCTCATTTTTCTCCTACTTTAAAATACTTAATAAACATCTATAGACTTTGCTTATTAATATGTATTATTCTTTAATATATTTTTGATTTGGAATTAAAAATAAACTGAAATGAAAGAAATCCAATTTCTTTGTGTTTACTAAAATCTCCTGGTAAATATGTTCTGAGTCGAGTTTGATTTCAGACCAATTAAGAAATACTAATAATTTCACATCCAATCTATAAATTGTAATTTTTTTTGGTCACTTAAGTTTCATTTGCTTTGCTTTTATCTTAGTTTTTATTATCCATCACTTTTATTTCAGTTTCATAAAATAATATTAACACATTTTGTGTAACTTTAAGAATGTTTTTTTAAGAGCTAGCAAATCGAACATTTTAAACATATACTGAAAAAGACTAGTAATGACAATTAAAGTGGTGTTTATAAAAGTAGATTTTGCAATGTCTACGACCCTGACAAAGTATGTTTATGCAAAACCAAATGCATATCTGAGCCTGTTTCAAATCTAAAAATACTAATTTAAGCCTGAAAGAAATATAAACGTAATACTTTTGTTGATAATCCTTTCCAAAGCTTCACTGCAGGTTGCAGATTGTTGTTTCTGCAGATGGTGCACACACGCATGCACAAATATCCTATATTTAAAAATTACTTTTCTGCCTACAAATGTGCAATTCAGCCATCAAGTACATACTCTCTTCCATGCAGAGCACTAAGACCCTTTTCCACCAGAAAAAAAATGCTTTTGACCCATCATTAAGTGCATTAATAATTAATTTCCTGCACTAATTTTCCCACACAGACTTTGGTCGGACTGGCAGCTGTGTGTCACAGTTTGACTAAGTCTGTTGGTGGGGTTATGAGTCCCCTTGGGTTGAGATTTGCCACTAAGCAGACGTCATAGTTGTCATGCATCAGTGCGTGTCGAACCACTACTGTCCATCGATTATCCCGTGGGTCCAGCTCCAGAATGTCCTTTGTTATATCATCATGACGATCTGAGGGAATTTGAGACACAATGACCACAAAGTCACTTTGAAATAAAACTTAAACATCAATATGTTTTGGTTTTTTTCACTACCTGCTCCTTTGTAGTAACCACAGACATAAATCTTTCCTCCCACCACTCCTGCATTGGACGCATTGGTACGCAGTGAGAGCTGGGGACATGGGAGAGGCGGTCCATCCCTCCAGTTATCACCATTTGGGTTGTAGATTTCTACAGCATTCAGACAATGACGGGATTGTCCACGGTCCAGACCCTCACATCCAATACCCCCTGCAAAACACGTGCCCATCATTCAACAGACAGAAATCAGTGAAATATTATTCTGTTTGTATTATGCATACAAAGACATTGACTGTGAAAATCAAGCATAAATTCTTCAAAAGTAAGATTTAATTAAGTTACTAATTTACAATGAAACTGGTGCTGTTTGAAGGAATGCATATCACCCACTTCCGTCCATTCCACAATGTTAAACAAGCTTTTGTGTGATCTGTTGGTGCTCAATGTATGTGTTGGGGATGACTCTTTTTTGGAGATGGTGTACGGGCAGGGCATCAGTTCGATCCCCGGTCATTGCACATCTTATGGTGTCTCTGAGCAGGACACCCAATCCCAATTTGCTCCCTGGGCATTTACATAGCTGCCCACTGCTCCATGTGGGTGTATCCCAGGTGTGATGGGTTAAATGCAGAGAGCCAATTTCGTCTTTGGAACATACAATGATGACAACACATAGCACTTTATTTATTTATTTATTTATTATTTACTACCACAACGAATCTTAGCTCAATAGCTGTAAATCTGACTGAGTTTCAGTCATTTTTGTCTTGGTAATGTCAATTAGATGTTGTGGCTACCTGGAATCAAGTTCTTCCAAAATTTAATCATAGACGAATGATTACTTTCTGAGAATTTCATTAACAGACAAACCCAGACACAGACAGTTATACTGCCTGCTTTTTATGGCAATAGCAAAGTTAACGGAACAAAAAAAACACACCTATCACATAAATCTCTCCGTTGAGCACCACGGCACTGCAGCGGTACTTTGAGTACCTCATGGGACCGAGCTCCGTCCATTTGTTTGTGTTCGGATCATACTCCAGCAGGCGGTTACTAAGACGGTCAGGCTCATCATCCAGGCGGTATGACTGGAAAGATGAAATAGAGGAAAGATGTGACAAAGCACAACAGGTGCATATAGAAAGAACTCCCACACAAAGAATGAGTTTTGAAGAGAAATCTAATGTTGTTAATGTATAAATAAAGTAAATAGAGTTGTTTATATTACTGGCAGATAAAGACAATGTTTGCAACACCTGTGGGGTGCGACCACCTAACACATAGAGGAGGTCTTTCATCCTGACCACAGTGTGGTAGGCCAGAGGCAGAGGGAGAGGTGCTGCGCTTCGCCAGGGTCCACCCTGCAGTGACCATCTTTCCACACAGTTTGTGATGACAAACTGGTCCTTCAGCTTCATCTGTCCACCCAAGAGGTATAGAGTGTCACCCAGCGATCCCAAAGCATAAGAGTCACGATACTCTGCTGATGTCAGGTGCTCCCAGCTGCCCTGAGCTTCCACTTTATACCTGGAAACTCAAGTGAACCAAAATCAGCCTGAGCGCAACAAGTACTGTTAGAAAATAAGTCACCACTTCCTTACCGGTAGATCTCAACGTTCAGGTCTTTCTGGCGAGCCATTCTGCGCGCACTTAACTCTCCTGCTGCAACAATGTCATTTTTTTCAGTAACAACTCCAGCACACACATAACCCAGAGCCTCTCCATAGCGAGGGGAAGTGATGTAGTAGATCCGGCCTGTGGTTGGGGAATAGCAGAAACTTCGTTCTGCAAAGTTTTCATACCTTGACCTGATCCCTCCACCGTCATTACCAATGCAGAGCAGCAGATCTGTGGTTTCCATTCCATAGCGCAGCTTAAGTTTGCGTGGTGCAGCTGAGGGATGCATTGCCGCGGCCTCTAGAGCGTCATTCAGTATATCCAGACATTCAGCATCAGCCAGCAGCTCTGTGTTTCTCCTCATTGCCTCTCTTAAGTAGTTTGGGTTTATCAGTGGCAGACGGACCTTCCTTAGGAGCTCTGGTAGATGCCGAACACGTACTTCTCCATCCATCATAGGGCTGTGTTTGACCCACTGAAGAACCACATCTAAGATGGTTTCTTCTCGTGTTACATTGAGACCATCAGAGCTCAGGAGCTTTCCAAGCTGATGGGCCTCCAGGTCCAGGATTTCCTCGCTTTTGCAGACTTGGACAAAGTGCTGCCTCAGGAAACGTTGAGCGTGGTCAGCCAGTTCCTCTGCACCAAGGTCACGGGCAAAATAGTACACACCGAGACAGTTCGAAGCATCCATGTTCTCAGTCATGTACTGCTGACAGAGTGTGAAGACCTCATCCATCTGCAAGAGGAACGCTGCAATGGAGATGCCCTGAACGTTGGCATTGGTGAGAGGAAGATGTGAGGTATACATGTAGTTGAGGAGGAGAGCCAAGCTGTCTGCTGGGGTGTCGCGCAGAAATATTTCTCTGTTGCTGCACTCACGCAAACCACATGTAAACATCACACGGAAGTACGGACTGAAGGCAGAAAGGATGACTCTGTGGCAGGGGAAACTGATGCCCTCAGCAACCAGCACCACATCTGTCAGGTGCTCAACCTCCCTCATCTTCCTCAGCTGTTCGAGAAGCACCAGCCCATGTTTGGCAGTGAGATCCATTTTGCTCAGATTTATCACAAAACTGAGTTCACGCAAGAGGTTTTACACACCAAGAGCGAACAGTGAGGTTGTTTCTGAAAAACAAGCAGAGTCAAGTGACTATTAGCTTTATACATTAGGTACACTATTCAGTCAACACATATTTAGTCTTCACTACAAAGGACAACTTAATTAATCTGAACAATGATCACAATAAAGATCACAGTATTTCTTGTAAAATATTTGATTTAAGTCAGAAAAAATCTTGTCAGGATTAAACTTTTGTTTTGTCTGGTTGTTGATGCCATTCTCTGATTCATGAAAGTGACAGGAAAGTGCACTCTGAAGAAATTTTAACAAAATACATAGAAACATGAATTTTGTTTCTGTCTTTTTTCTTAAAGCACAATTTTTTCAAAGGTTCAAGGATCAAAAATATTGATTACAAACTAGATAATGTTCAAATAGGTTTCATCTTTTTCATGAAAAACCTGATAAACGGCATCAGCTCCAGCAAACAGTTATATATCAAAACCCTAACAATTTGAAAACCCGTATTTGTGGAGAAATTTACCTTAAAGTGCTGGAAATCAATTTTGGACAAATAAAATACTCAGTATGGTAAATACTGAAGCCTAGAAATATATGAGGAAAAACATTTTTCCCAAAATCAAGTTTCAAATTATGAAATCTGTATGTGTAAATGATGAATTATATTTCAAATAACGCATGCATACGAACAAAAATAATATCTCAAGAAACAGAAATCTAGTTGGCCAAAATAAATAGCTTGTTTATATAAAATAAAGTAGCACAGGCACATTTACAAGCCGAGCACTTAGGGAAAAATGTAGTTTGTTCAAAGTCCTACCAAACTCACAACTCGTCTTGACTTAAAAGATGTTCTTCAGTCTTTGGGAAAACTGTGAATATCCATGTTTTTCTTCAGGCCACACGTCATGTTGATGTTGCAGAATGTGCTAGAGGGGTTAGATCAGATCTGAACAAACGCAATGTAAAGGTATGTACCCCCCGCAGCCCCCCCTTCCAGCACTGCTGCCCCCCTGAGCTGCTGACCCAAAAATAGACGGTGTTGTGACCGGCAGTAAGTGGGTCAGAGGGGTTTGAAGAACAGGAAAATGATCAAAAGTATTTGAAATGAGAAATGTGATAAGTTCATTGTTAGCTTTCATACAAGGTTTAGTTATTATTCTGTTTGGAGCGAGTCCTCCGTTTGTTCATGTTTGTCACGTGTATGCTGTTCTGGAACGACTGAAACTTTGCTCTCAGCTGGGATTCAGATTTCATGACAGCACTTTCTTAAAGGTCCAGTCAATATTCTAACATCTTTTTAGTGTTTCTAAAGTAGAAGCTCTAATGTTTCATTGTTTTTCCATTTAATCTCTATAGCCAACGTGAGTTATAACTAGTTAGTTTAGACCTGAAATGCTCCTAAATCAGGAGACCTTTTCTCTAAAAAGAAAATAATTTTGAGTTTGACTTATTTGAAGTTTTTACCAATTCAGTGTGAGAATGTCATGGGTCATTAACTCCATTTTTGTCACTGAAGGGAAAAAACAGGGAGGATGGAAAGTTTTGATAATCCAACTTCAGCAGAGTTTACTGTTTTCCTCTTTCAGCCCATAATCACATCCTCTCTGTGTCACACAGCCATCACTTGTAAATTCTCTGCCCCCAACATCCTGTAACTATTTAACCAGCATGGAGTATAAAAAACACATACAGCCGTAGTTTAAACAGTACTTTAGGGGCATCTAGTTCAAGACATTTTGAAACGTATGCTCAAATGGACTCCAGACAAAGGTTGGGGAAATACAGGGTAGAGAGGGAAATCCTAGATGAGCAGAGATTAGAAGAACTGACACAGAGGAAAACAGACATCCACCTACCTCTTTCTGATCGTTTGAAAGACTCTTTAAGGTAAACCGTTCAATAAAATCACCTATAAACTTATGCATTGTTTATTTAAAAATATCTGCAGATGAAATGACCTTAACATTTGTACTTTTACAGATGTAGTGTAACTAAACTGAAGCGAAGCGTGCTGAGCAGCTTCCCTGTGTTATACTGGCTGCCCAAGTACTCCATCTGGGACTATGGCATGCCCGACCTTGTCTCTGGGATCAGTGTGGGCATCATGCACCTGCCACAAGGTATGACAACAATCCCAACTGAACACAGTCACATCTGCCTGGACTGAACTCTGTTTTGACCTCGTAAAGACACGTTAGTACCTTGGACATTATGGGTCATTTTATTACTGAACATAAACGTACTTGATTTTTAAAAAATGTTCTTATGCTGGTATTATGAGTACAACCTACTATATATCTATTTGTAAACTGTAATAAATAAAAAAACTTTTCTTTCACAGGCATGGCTTATGCTTTGCTGGCTTCTGTACCTCCTGTATTTGGGCTTTACACTTCTCTCTATCCTGCATTAATCTACTTCTTTTTTGGAACATCTCGCCATATTTCCATTGGTAAGTGCCTATAGAAAGCATTGAAACGTTTTTTTTGTTTTTTTTTTACGCAAATGTTGTACTTTTTGTTTTATACTTCGTAAATACCACTGTTTTAGGTACATTTACCATCCTCAGCATCATGGTAGGTAGTGTGACTGAGACACTTGCTCCGGATGAGAACTTCTTGAAAAGAAACGGGACCAACTTTACTGCAGAGGTGGACATAAGTGCCCGGGACTCATACAGAGTGCAGGTGGCAGCTGCTACCACTGTCCTAGGAGGACTTATTCAGGTATGTAACACAGAAGATTCCTCAAAATCATTTTCCTAAACAATAGAAAACTAATATATTGTTCTTACAACTATTACATGACATAACTGTGTTTGCAGGTGTTTTTAGGTGCTGTAAAGTTTGGATTTGTGGGAATGTACCTGTCCGAGCCTCTGGTGCGAGCTTATACAACTGCTGCAGCAGCACATGCTGTGGTGGCACAGCTGAAGCACATTTTTGGAGTTTCACCCACAAGGTTTAACGGCCCACTGTCACAGGTTTATGTGAGTTTCATCGAGTATTACATCTCCATTTTCTTTTAATCGATTTAATCTGCAACAGCATAGAAATTCTATGCTAAATCCAACAGCTTCAGACCTTAACGTTTCACATGATTTCTTTAAAATGCCTCTTGAATCCTGTCTCATTTCAGCTCTTTACGTGCTTTATGACTCTTTTCACTCATACTTTTCTGAACCTCTTAAACGTATTTCAAAATAGTTTCATTTTTTTAGTATTTGTTCCTTCACACAGGATACAAGAAATCTAATCATGATAAAACACTTTAAAAAATGAAAGCAAGAAAAATACAATTTTGCATTTCACCAAGAGTACAAAGTAAGCATACGGTTGTCCCTCGTTTATCACGGGGGATCCGTACCCTGAAGCTCTGCGATAAGTGGAAAACCTTGAAGTAGGAATAGTACTACAAGTAGTCAGATAATCAGAGTCAGAGTTTATTTATTTGTCATTCGCATCACATGTGGTACATGTGATGGAACGAAATTATGTACATAGGGTCCCAGTTACATCCAACAATAAAATGTAAAAGAAAAACAGTAATAAGATCTAAGATATGAACTAAGAAAAATGTTAACTAAAAATACACTAAGCACTAATAGCATAACAACAATACGCTGAACAGCAGCATAAACATGAGTCTTTGTGAGCAGATGAGCACAAATGAACACAGTAACATGAAACAGATCAGCAACAACATGATGTGATTTTTCACAGTGATTATTCTGGTTAGAGATTCATGAGTCTAACAGCCTCAGGGTAGAAGCTGTTCCTCAGTCTAGTGGTTCTGCACTTAATGCTCCTCAACCTCCTTACTGAGGGGGGCGGGGCAAAAAGTGTGTGCTGGGTGAGTGGAGTCCTTCGTGATGCAGGTGGCCCTCTTCCTGCATCTAGAGGTGTAGATGTCAGTGATGGTGGGGAGGCTGACTCCAACAAATTTCTGTGCAGCCTTCACCACTTTCTGCAAAGCTTTTCTTTCTGCAGCTGTGCAGCCTCCATGCCACATGTTGATGCTGGAGCACAGGATGCTCTCCATTGCACATCTGTAGAAGGAGGTGAGGACTGAGCTTCCCAGACCAGCTCGCCTCAGCTGCCTGAAGAAGTAGAGTCTCTGATGAGT